CCCCCTCTTTTCTTTTCTTTCTCGCTCTTGCGTCGCCTCTAATGTCAAAGCAGCAGCGCGCATTTTCTTTTTCTTTCTCTTCTACTTCTTCTTTCTTTTTTTTTTTTTTTTTTTTTTTTTTCATTTTTTGATTTTTATTGGCACCAATCTGCTTCGTCTTTTATTTTGAAAGGCCGCAGCCTCGCTAATCAATGGGACCGTCAGTGATTATAGACTCGGGGTCTTTACAGGAAATATTGAGCCTATTTTAGTCGTGCACGGGAGGAAGGTAATCATGTGGCCGAGTTTTTTTTTTTAAATATGATAAGTGACATGTGGAGGATGCAATAAGCCCACAGACTCACTTCCCTCATACCAATAAAACATCAGCAACCCCGAGAGGCTTTTATTCTGCTAAAATGCACTTTGCATTGGTGGCATAGAGCCGTCTGATGAGGTTTAGATCTCCTGGTGTCTAATTATTGATCGTCTGTGCCTGGTTGGTCTGTATAATGGAAAAATATAAAAATAATAAAGACTGAAGTCAATTCTCTGCACTGAAGCTGCACAAAACCTTCAACAAAAGGCGACAAAGCATCCGAGTTTAAGCACTTTATTTACAAAATGTTAAACACAATAAAATATAACATTTCAATATCATCATTAATTTGTCAAAACGGAATATAACAACAATGGAAGACAAATAATCATAGAATAAATGGGACTACACACACAAAGAAATGACATGCTGGTGTGTTTAATAGTTGATTCTTTGATAGTTTCTCTTCAGGTTTTGACACCAGATTAACCCAGGACACACACACATAACTTGGATCAGATTTACAATCCGTAATGCTCCTTTTTTTATTATTATTATTATTATTATTTCTCTCCAAATAATTGCAGCATTTCTAAACCCTGTTTTGCCATTATTATTATTATTATTATTTCTCTCCAAATAATTGCAGCATTTCTAAACCCTGTTTTGCCATCAAGTGCACTGCAATCTACCTTAACGCAACAAAAATTCCCTTCTTATAAATACTCGCATACATAAATGATAAATAATGTGCAATACAAAAGCAATGGATGAATTAATAAATATGATATAGTGCGAGAGATTATGCAAAATTTAATAAATAAGGGGTGGAGGGAAGGGGGGGTGAGATTCTAGAACAAACAGACGCAAAAAAAATATTCTTCAAAAACGTCCTTCTCTGCTCTATAAGGTTGAGCTTCTACGTTTGTGATCTACAAGACTTACCTTCAAGTCAGCTGAAATAGTCAAACATTGCGCATTGCACTTGAGAATAAACAACAAACAAAACAAAAGAGGAGAGAACTATCAACAACCAGACTATCGTGCCTCTGCGCTTCTCTGGATATTTAAAGAGAAAATGGACAAAAGCTGCGTTATTTTAGAAAATAATTACACAATAGCATTAATAGTAATATCAATAATACTGTAATAATACACACGACTCGCTTGGAGTGGAGTTAATAGACTAGTGAGGTAATAAAAAAAGAGCGCAACGTCATTTTGGCACACACACACACATACACGTGCACGCAGCAGGCGCGCGCGCACACACGCATCCACGCTCACATGAAACGAGATTACAAATGCGTGAGCTTAGGCGCTTCCTGAATCCTTCCCTGAGAAACTTGGTGAGAGGTGAGGTCTGTGTATGTGGGGTGGGGGTCGCACGGTCCGTGGTGGTGATTTCCTGGGATCTGAGCGGCGCAGCTGTAGTCCACGCTGGTGGATGAGGGGTGGGGAAGGTGGCCGAGGTTGAACATGGGGCCCGAGGCTGGCATGGAATCAACAAAGTTCCCACCCACGTAAACGGGGCTGCCTTGCAAATTGGCGTTGGCAAAGCCCCCGTTGCTCTGCATGCCGTGGTGTTCGTACTCGGGGCCCGGGTAGCGCTTCTGTTGAGGGATGCAGCCGCCCAGCGGCGCCGTGTACGCGGCCAGGCCGTACATGTTCTGCTGGGGTTTGGCGAATGGCGGGGGCGAGGGCGCGTCATAGCTGAGGCTGTTCACGTTTTGGAGCGGGCCCGCGTACCCGGTGTGGTTCGGTCCACTCAGCGGTGGGCTCCTGTCCGGGGAGTGTCCCATGGGGGAGTGTGCCAACCCTTTGGACTTCTGGTCCTTTTTGTATTTCATCCTCCTGTTCTGAAACCAGATCTTTATCTGGCGCTCGGTGAGGTTCAACAGATTGGCCATCTCCACCCTCCGAGGGCGACAAAGGTAGCGATTAAAGTGAAACTCCTTCTCCAGCTCCACGAGCTGCGCGCTAGTGTACGCAGTTCTGACCCGTTTGGAGGCTGGTCCCGGTGGGCTTTTCTCATCACTCACCTCCCCACCTGTTTAAAAAAAAACAAGACAAAAACAGCATCATCTTTTGAGCATTATGAGTTCATCTACCTCAAGGCCCATGCAGTCACACACTCCTCCTTCTCTCTCTCTCTCTCTCTCTCTCTCTCTCTCTCTCTCTCTCTC